ACCAGCACTCAAGAGTTCAGGAGATGTATTGCATTGGGTAGGTTGGCTGTCAGGAACACCCTTTGCACCAGCACTCAAGAGTTCAGGAGATGTATTGCATTGGGTAGGTTGGCTGTCAGGAACTTCTCCAAGTTATTGGAGGGTAATGATGTCATTTTGAAGACCAAGATGTACCTGGTTCAGACCATGGTCTTTACCATAACTTATTATACATCTGATAAAGATAAATAAAGATGACAGAAGAAGAAACCCTTGGGATAGGATATTGAAGAAGAAAATCTCATGGACTTCCAAGAGAACAAATAGAAATATTTGGGGGAAAATCATAACCAGAATGTTCCTCTGAGGCAAAGATGATAAAGCTTTGTCTCACATACTGTGGACATATTGCTATGAGAGACTATTCCTTGGAGAGGGAGATCGTGTTTAGAAAGATGGAGGGCCAGTGAAATAAATCCTCAGTGAAATGGATTGACTCAGTGACTGCAGCAACGAGCTCAATCGTGACAGAGATGATGATGATGTGACAGAGACGGCACATCATAGGACAGGGTTCAGATCTGTCATTTATAATGTCACTGTGAGTCATATTTGACTTGACAGCACCTAACAATAATGACAATGTTCATATCTAGACCCCAGTGAAACATGTTCCCTTTCCCCAAAAGATTTGTACCTTCCCAATCCTGGTTTAACTTGAAGATTAGCAGCTGAGCTAGGAGTGGAGAAGTGGCAGGTATGCCTTCTGGCTAGTCCTAGGAATATCATTCATTTTTTTCCTATGATAATCTATTATCACCAAATCTTGGATACATTATTTCTCTGGAACGTAGCAAAGTTTGACAGGCTACTGTCTACAGTCTTGGGTAGGGCAAGTTGTTAACATGCTTGGTCCACCCAGAAATACCTTTGTAAAAGATTTACTTCTAAAAATAAGTTTTTGAAAACTCTATGGAGAAAAATATTTCTCTAACACACAAGATTTTATCATGAATCAGAGCTGACTCCATGGTGACTGTTTATTTTTGTTTGTTTAGCTGCTGTTGTTGTTTATTGTCTCTATATGAGATGATGAGCTGTGAAGAAGGTCTACAAATTCTTTAAAATCTTCTGCCTTCAAAGTGCTTACAGTCTAAAAGGGGAGCTGAGGCATCATGTGACTTCCAATGTTGCAGTCAGTCAATGTTGCCCGAAGACACAGTTTTGGTTTAATTTCAATAAAAGGGAGGGAATACTAAGATGGCGACAGCCCTCTACAAAAGCCCCACGGAAGAAAGTGAGCATTGAGAGTACTTTTATTCCTATTATTCTTTTCTTAGAAGTGCTGGCAGCACATCAGCAGCTAAATGAAAGGTGAAGGGTTCTAATTTACCAACAACACTGTGGGAGATAGATTAACAGTCTTCACCTATAAAGAAATGTATTCTACTTTGGAAATCAGTTGGAAGGTCACCATGAACTAGAACATAGAACGTTTGAATGTTTTATAAATTTTTGTTTATATCTATGCCTATTCAATCTGTATGCTGAGCAAATTATCCGAGAAGTTGGACTCTGTGAGGAGGATTGTGGCGTCAGAATTGGAGAGAGACTCATCAATAACCTGCATTATGCGGATGATACAACATTGCTTGCTGAAAGTGAGGAGAGCTTAAAGTACTTACTGCAGAAGATCAAGAAAGAGGAACGCAACCTTTGGTGGGGTTTGCATCTCAATGTCAAGATAACAAAGATTCTTCGCACTGGACCAATAAGAAGTGTCAGAATGGATGGAAAGGAGATTGAAACTGTCAACAGCTTCATCTTGCTGGGTCCACAATTAACACCCTTGGTACTAGCAGTCAGGAAGTAATGAGACTCACTGCACAGGAAAAATCTGCAGTTAAGGACCTCTCCAAGTTATTGAGAAGTGGTGATGTTAGTTTGAGGACTAAGGTGTATCTGATTCAGGCAATAGTCTTTCCCATTACTTGCCATGCACCTGAGAGCTGGACAATGAATAAGGATGACAGAAGAAGAATTTATACCTTTGAGCAGTAGTGTGTTGAAAAAGAGCTCTGAACATCCCATGAATGTCCAGGAGAATAGATATGTCGTAGAGAGGGTGCAGGTGGATTGCTCTATGGGGCAAGAATGACGAGGCTTCATTTCACCTACGTAGTGCATGTTCTAGGAGGGGCTATTCCTTGGAGAAGGACATGCTATTGGGAAGAGTGGAGAGTCAGTGAAGAGGAGAAAGATCTCCAACCAGCTGGATTGACACAATAACTGCTGCCATAGGCTTCTGTGTGTGAAGATGGTGCGTTCTAGGCTGCGGGAGGAGCGAGAAGCCGCTTCCCTGGTCGCCAGGTCTTAGTCGTCCATGGAGGTCGTGCGGAAGGTGCTGATCGTGGGCGCGCTTTTGGGTGCCGGAGCCGGTGTGGGCTCCGCGCTCTTTGCGCTCGTGACCCCGGGAGAGCAGAAGATACAGGAGATGCTCAAGGAGATGCCCGAGCTGGACAAGCAGCACAGGGCCGAGGCGGCCAGGAACAAAGAGCTG